GGTTGTTATTACTATATAGCAAAAAATGTATGTGATCTAATATTTCATATGTATATTTTGAAATATTAGATGCATATTAGGGTTTTCTATTTTGTGTTCAATGCTTGTATGTTTAATAGGGAAAACATAGATCCAATCTAGGGTTCCATGCACACATAGGATTATAAAACCAATTAGTGGTATAAGAGCTTTTGGTTTTGTTTTTCAGTTATACTTGATACAATAGATTGAACTTGAAAAAATTAGGGTTTATGTATTTTAAACCTTAGGGCTTGGATTTTTCGATATTAGGGTTTCTAAACCCTAGTTTTGAAACTTAGTTAGGGTTTTTTTAACGCTTTCCTTTTTCTATCTTATTTTCGATTTTAGGGCTTGCTAACCCTAGAATTTTCGAAAAAGGCTTCCCCAAGATTGGATTTTGAAAATCTAGGGTTTTGGGTAGGTATTAAATTTAAATTGTTTAAATGGATAATTGATGATTTTGAAATATCCCTTCCCAAATTTTCGAAATCTATGGGATAAAGTGATTAGGTGAAATTATTTATTTAAATGAAAGAACAGTCCTTATGAGATTTAATAATTTAAATTAATTGTTTAATTTTGGATAATTATTAAATCAAGGTTTTTAATATTTAAGATTTTAAATTAAAAGGTATTAATTTCGAAAATTTTAAATTATATTAAAAACCATAGTATTTTGAAATGTTTAAAACACACCCTTATAGTATATAATTAATTAAAAGTTTAATATTATATATGTATAAGAAAAGTTAGTCGTACCATTAGTAGGCCTCATTTACAAAGCTGGTCTATAAGGGGTGTTTTAGGAAGCGACCTATAAAATGACCATCATTGGGTATCCACTCTTACCCACCGCACTCTTGAATAGTGGAGGGTCGTTAGCCGAATGGATAAGATAGGACATTAATTCTCTCAATAATAAGTATAATGATAAATATAAAGTAACCAATTTTTTTAAAAAAAATTCCCAATCTTAGTTACTTTAGGAAAATGTGAATTTGATGCTAATCCATGTAATTGCACATTGCACTTTGTCAAGTCGTTAGTGGAGCGTGTGTGGTTAACCGGCACACTAACTTAGACTAACAAAAGGTAGCAATGGGTAGCTCGTAAATTATCATAGATCAATAGAGCGTGTGTGGTTAACCAACACATTGATCAGGTGGTAAATGACATCAAGAGTACCAAGCTAATTTGCATGGTTATTCACACACTGTTTGTGATACTCGATATCCCAGTCACAAACTTGAAGTGAATAATTGAGATTAAACATGCCATTGAATAGTTCAATGAATCTCAAAAGATCTAGGAATTTCATTTAATAAAACCTAATTTATTTAAATTTCATTTTTCATGGTGGCATTTATAAATCGTCATTTACCTACCTAATAATTTACAATTGGATTACGGAATCACTTTTCTGAGTTATGAATTATTATGTTGGGTCCTAGCCTTAATATTTCATTTGGTTGTTATATTAAGGATTTCCTATCTAATAAAAAACTTGTCTTTCTTCTTTTTCAGATGTTTGGCCCTAACAACATTTCTAGATCAAACTCCAACAACAAGAACTCCTCGAACCCACTCTTGCTCCTAAACATTAATAGGAAGGTCACATTTAATGGATCCAATTTCAATGCTTGGATCAGAAACATCAGAATGACCCCATGTTACAAGTATAAGGAACATATTCTTGAAAAGGAACTCACCAAGATAGATGAAGCCACTGCTACTCCCGAAGAAATGGCTGAGTATAGGGCCAAATGCAAGAAAGCGATCAATATGTCGTTCATTATGGTGGCCACTATGACTCCTGAGTTGTAGCGGTTCTACGGGGACTATTAGCCCTACGAGATATGTTAGGAATTGATGGAAAGGTACCATCAAAGAGAACATCAAGAGAAGTATGATATAGTCACCATCTTTCATAACAACCAAGATGAAGGATGGAGTATAGGGCCAAATGCAAGAAAGCGATCAATATGTCGTTCATTATGGTGGCCACTATGACTCCTGAGCTGTAGCGGTTCTACGGGGACTATTAGCCCTACGAGATATGCTAGGACTTTATGGAAAAGTACCATCAAAGAGAACATCAAGAGAAGTAAAGATGAAGGATGGAGAGTCCATCACGACCCACCTGCAAAGGATGCAAAGGCATGTGGATCGATTGCTCAATTTTAATGTCAACTTTGATGAAGAGCTAGCTATAGACGTAGTCTTGCACTCTTTGCCTCGCTGCTATGATCAGTTCAAGATGAGTTATCATCTGAGAAAGTATGAAGTCTGTTTGAGCAAACTTCCAGGTTTGTTAAGAACTATTGAAAGTGGATTAAAAGGAAAAAGTGTTGAATCCACTCTTACTGCTACCCTAGTCCTGACAATTAGACATGGAAATGGGAAAAAGATGAAAGCTCCCTCATAGAACAGGAAGGGAAAGTCTCATGATGGATCTTCTACTAGTGGATCCAAAAGTAAAACCGGTTTTTCCCCTCCCTCCTCAGATCCAAAAGAAGCAACCTGCTTCTACTGTCATGATAAGGGGCATTGGAAACGAAGCTGGCCAAAGTACCTGTAGGACATCAATGATGGGAAGATAAAGACCACCTTTCCATATATTTATACTATTCTATCTAAAAACTCATCATATGTTAGTTCTTGGGTCCTTGATACAGGATGTGGTTTTACATTTGTTCTGACTTGCAGGGACTAAGAAGAAGTAGGGATGTGGAGCATGGGAAGATGAACTTTATAATGGGCAATAGGAAGACGTCTCACATTACCAAGATCGGAGTTTACTCTTTAGTGCTTAGTAGTAGGTTAGGTTTAGATTTGAATGATTGTTGCCACTCGTCAGAAATGACGAGGAATATTATTTCTTTTCATGGTTTGTACAGACAAGGATTTAGATATTCATTTAATAATGAAAGTGGTTCTATAAATGCTTATTATAATGGTACTTTTTATTTTGAATCATTTCCTTGTAATGGTTTATATGAAACTGTGATGGTTGTAGATAACATGGGAAATAATGTATTACATATTGATTCATCTAATGATTTAGACAAGGCATGCTTGTGGCATTGTTGTCTTAGACATGTTAACAAGTAGCTCATTGCCTAACTTTAAAAGTATGGAGTGTTGGAATCATTTGACCTAAGGTCACATGACATGTGTGACTCTTGTTTGCTTGGAAAGATGACTAAAAAGGTCAAGGTTCTAATCTTGTTTGTGATGTGGATTTTGCTTTGAGCATTTTTGGTCCCTGATGTGGATTTTGCTTTGAGCATGGTGAGCCGATATCATGGTCAGATGACATGTGTGAGTCTTGTTTGTAGAAATACAGGAGAGTGCACCTGCGCCATCAAGTCGGGCCTTTGTCCTTAGATATAGAAGTACCTGAAACACCCAACAAAATTGTAAGTACACGCTTAATGAGTTTTCCAAAATACACAAAACACATAACTATATAATGTGATGTACATATACACATAAATCTACCATGGACTCCCTGCATCGTTTACAACCGGTATGCCATGGGCTACCCCCATGGTCTTATACCAAAGGGCCATAGGTTCCCCCTCATGGTGTTACCAAGTGCCATGGGCTCTCCATGGTCTTCACATAAATCAATACATACCAAATAGCAAACCAATGCATATTTAACTATAGAAATCACTTATCAAGTGATGGGCCGATGTTGGTGCCTTCGACCCATTAGTATAATGAGAAGACTCACCTCAGTCTGCTGAAACAATCACTATTCAACTACCAGCCAAAAATCTCACACTGAACAAATATACAAATGCCCTAATTAGGATTATAATTCACCATAATTAAAAAGCCCAGAGATCCAAGTCCAAGTTCCTCCATAGTGACCCAAAGGTCATTCCTTCAATGATAGGCTTAGCATCCAAAATCTGCAACCATTATGGGCCACAAGGACCAAAAGTCCCAACTAAGCTACTAATGATCCAATAATGATTTCCAGGGCCCAACTGATCCAAATTCTCAGGCCTAAGGTCAAAAACCAAAAACCCATATAAGGCCCAAAGATTTGAGCCCAACGCTTAACAAAGCTGCTTGAGCCGTACGCCCAACGTACATACTGGTACACACAACGTACCTCAGCCGGAGGCAGTACGCACGACGTTCATGGGTGTACGCGCAGCGTACGCACCGGTTATACAAAAATCCATGAAAATACTTAATGCATTAAGATTTTACGTCCAAAACTCAGATCTGGACCCATTAACACCTATAGGGATATAAAGTTGCCAACTTTAAGCCCTTGCATGGCTACAAGAAGTCCGAATACAAAGATCAAGTCTCTTAAGCACTGTCCTATGTCTTATCTCGAGAATGGGCACCAAACCACCTCAAAGCTTGCATCTTTATGCATTGAGACACTAGAACATAATTGGAAATGCAACTAAAAGGCTTGGGAGTAGCTCATACTCACCATGATCTAACATTTTTGGGTCAAAAGGGGAAATCTAGCCTCAACCAAGAGCTTAAGGAAACACAAGCAAATATTTGAGCTTTATACCTCTATGTGATGCCAAATGAGTAGCAAATGTTGGATCTAAAGTCTTGGAGACAAAACTTTATTCGTGCACCACCTTCTTCATCACTAAAGAAGCTCAAAATCTCACTACAAAGATCAAGAGGTTCAAAATTGGCTAGGGTTAGCTAAGAGGGACAAAATGACAGTGAAGGCTGAGGTGAGGGAAGGTCTAGGGGTCATAACGGGGTTTAAAGTGTGCACAAACCTAATCACTAGGGTTTTGGTCTGAGTCATGTACACCCATGATACGAGATGTACACGCAGCGTACGCATCTGGAGTTTAGTACTCCCAGCGTAATTAGAGTTACGCCCCACGTACTCCAAAAGGTCAACATTCCATCTCAGGGAACAAAAAGGCCATAAAATCAAATTCTAAATGTTAAAAAAACCAACTTGATCAATCTTGGATGTT